CCACAAAGTTACAAGTGCCTAGATTCTTCAAGTATATACAGTTTACATTTCTTCTAAATATCTACCTGAATAAAAACAGTCCACTTTCTACGTAACGAATTCAGAAAACAGCTTTGATTACGTGCGTGTCATGTGTCACTGGTCGTGCCCTAACTTCCCACAATAACCCCTGCGATATATAAACTTATTGTTACGCGGTTATAAAAACACATTGATTTCTTATAGACTACCGCGAGTTTTTGTTCGTGTGGCGAATCATGCGTTGAGGGAGTTCATGCAGCTCTAGATGTTTTGGATACCCTAGCTGTCTACGTTGGAAATGGGTCGTAACGCTGCCGGCGGCACGGGAGCGATTTTTTCTCGTAGCTTCCAAAATTTTCGCTCTCGTAATTGTTGTTACCAGAGCGCTTTGAAAGCTGACGGGAGCGAAATCGCTCGCCGCTCCCGTGTATTTTTTTCGCTGATAGGTATGTAGTTTAAAAACTGTTTATGTAACATTCTGAAAAAAAGTAATAAAAAAAAAATTCAAGTTGTACTCGGTCGTTCGATTTTCTACTCGATTAATCAACTCGGCAGCCCAAACGAGTAATGATCGACGAACTCGATTAATCGGAACACCACTAGTACAAATAAAACGGGATCGTGACGACTTGTAGCGAAGCAACTTGTATTTTTGTACTAGTGCTTAATTTAGGCCTACAGTGAGCGTGTATTGTTTATCAATTTCCCCCGATCAATTACCGGTGACGCTGAGCTTCGCCGCCATTGAAACCTTCACGACCTCCTTCTTCGTTCTGTCCCTGTACTCAGACAGGGACATATCGTACAAGAGGGGCTTCGCCTCCCACAAAGTGATCAACTCTGCCACTTTGTCGTATTTCGTCAGTATCATTGAACAACTCTGATTGGCTGATGAATTGTACAATCGGGCGACTTTATCGCCGACCCGGACACGCTAGGCGATTTTATCAGGCAACTGAAATAATCGCCCGATAATATCAAAACGTTTTGATTGATGCGATTAAATGGGGCGACTAAATCGGCGGCGACTGACTGGACACACTAGGCGATTTTCACCGGCGATTGAGTCGCCCGACTGAGTCCCCCGATAAAATCGCCTAGTGTGTCCGGCCCTTAACTAACGCAACGCGTCGCGCCCGCAAAGCCTTCTCCACGAAGTTTCTCAGATCGACCGTGTTTAACTTTGAACAAATCTCGAAGTAATCTGGGACAGGTGTTCTTAACCTGTGATCCATGGACCCCTTTGGGTGGATGGGCTTCAGGCAGTGCGTGAACCAGGCGCATAAAAATTATTGTGTTTACCAGCTTCTCAAAGGGGTCCATGACTCAAAAAAAGGTTAAGAACCACTGCTTTATGATAAAGGGCCGGACACACTAAGCGATTTAATCGGGCGACTTTATCGCCAGATTCTATCGCGCGAGTCGAGTGGACACATCACGCGATTTTTGACGGCGAGTTCCTATACTTTTTTATGTACGCTCTTGATATTATATGATCCCTAATAGCAAGACTAATGTTCACAAGTCTATGTATAGGTGTGTACTTACAAACTGTTTATGTAACATTCTGAAAAAAAGTTATAAAAAAAAAGTTAGAGTTGTACTCGGTCGTCCGATTTTCTACTCGATTAATCAACTCGGCAGCCCAAACGAGTAATGATCAAGAACTCGATTAATCGGAACACCGCTAGTACAAATAAAACGGGATCGTGACGACTTGTAGCGAAGCAACTTGTATTTTTGTACTAGTGCTTAATTTAGGCCTACAGTACACGTGTATTGTTTATCAATTTCCCCCGATCAATTACCGGTGACGCTGAGCTTCGCCGCCATTGAAACCTTCACGACCTCCTTCTTCGTTCTGTCCCTGTACTCAGACAGGGACATATCGTACAAGAGGGGCTTCGCCTCCCACAAAGTGATCAACTCTGCCACTTTGTCGTATTTCGTCAGTATCATTGAACAACTCTGATTGGCTGATGAATTGTACAATCGGGCGACTTTATCGCCGACCCGGACACACAAGGCGATTTTATCGGGCAACTGAAATAATCGCCCGATAATAACAAAACGTTTTGATCGATGCGATTAAATCGGGCGTCTAAATCGGCGGCGACTGACTGGACACACTAGGCGATTTTCACCGGCGATTGAGTCGCCCGACTGAGTCCCCCGGTAAAATCGCCTAGTGTGTCCGGCCCTTAACTAACGCAACGCGTCGCGCCCGCAAAGCCTTCCCCACGAAGTTTCTCAGATCGACCGCGTTTAACTTCGCTCACGAGCAGCACCAGCCCAGCTCCACCGGTGTAGCTACACCGATACATACGGTAGCATACGGTGGAGCGAAGAGTCTCTCCTAGCGGATGATGAGTGCAGCTAGCGGTTACACTGGTAGGATACAGAGCCATAGGGTCCTACACTGCCGTAGTAGAGATTACAGACAAGGGTTACACTGCAGAGATACAGAGCCAAGGGCTTACACCGCGCTAGCAGCATACATAGCCAAGGGCGCCTTACACTCGCGTAGAAGATACAGAGCCAAGGCCGTTACACCGCGTAGAAATACAGAGCCAAGGGGTTACAACCGGTAGCAGATACAGAGCCAACGGCGGGTACACGGTAAGATACAGAGCCCAAGGCGGTACACTGCCCGTAGCAGATACAGAGCCAAGGCGGTACACGTTCTAGAGATACAGAGCCAAGGCGTTACACTGTAGAGATACAGAGCCAGTTACATGTAGAATAAAGGCGGCTACACTCGTAGAGCATACAGAGCCAAGGCCGGTTACACTGGTAGAGATACAGAGCCAAGGCGACGTTACACTGTCGAGAGAGATACAGAGCCAACGGGTTACACGCGCTTAGAGATATATAGCCAAGCGCGGCCTACAATGCGTAGAGATACAGAGCCCCAAGGGCTACACCGTAGCCAGATATATAGCAAGGGGTACAATGGGAGAGATACAGCAGCCAAGGGGCACACCGAGGGATGAGAATAGTAGAGATACGGGGAGTCTGACGGGTTGGCTTCAGTCCGCTACGTGACCGCGACCCGGGATGCCTGTGGGCAGGGGCGGGCGGCTTGGGTGCAGTGTTGTACCCTGCAAGCGCCAGTAGATCAAGCAGCGCGGCTCCATACTGTACGTGTGACCTAACCGTCCTCCCAGCCGAGGCGACGCCGAGGCCAGCCGCGAGTGCGCTGCGCGCGATAGAGAGAGAGAGATCATTAAGCTCGCCTACCTACAGGTCGTCCTAATATCCCCCCTCCCCGCTTCCACTCGCCTCCCCTCCCCCCGCGACTCCTTCTCCTCGTCCGTGCGCTGCGGCTGCCCCTCGGTCTTAAATCTTCGCCACTGAAAACCTTGTTCCTCTCTCTCTCTCTCTCTCTCTCTCTCTCTCTCTCTCTCTCTCTCTCTCTCTCTCTCTCTCTCTCTCTCTCTCTCTCTCTCTCTCTCTCTCTCTCTCTCTCTCTCCCTGCTGCGTGGAGTGCTACTAATAACGGTCTATTAGTGCGTACTAGCGTGTCGGTGTGATGTATCCACGCTGCCTGGCAGCCCGAGAGAATGTCACCATAGCAATGCGGGTAGCGCCCCGGGTACACCTCTTGTGTGAAGATTACTCGCTATTTCTGCGGTGTCGTATGTCTGTGAAAACTGCTACTGTGTGCTGCGCACTCGCTCCTGCTTCGTGCCTTTCCTATAGTATAGCATCGTATATAATCCCCTTGGTTTATATCTTTGATATCATATCGACATCGTATGGCCGTGATGTCTTTTATCGTTTATCAATAAAAAGTCCTATCTATGTGCATTTATGTTGTGTATGAATAGAGGTATTCATCGTCGAATTTGTGAATAGGAATAATGACCTATCTAAGTGATGTTTATCCGAGAAGATATCCGCATTCGTAGCGGGTAGTCTTTTGAAAAAAATCCATGTTCGATTCTCTCGATTTCTTGATATTTAACGAGACTCGTTAATTTCTGTTTCAGGGACACGAGTGGTCAGGGACGATTCTGCACGATCATCAGATCTTACTCCCGTGGAGCACAGGTAAGGTCGTCATGATAACGATCAATTAAACCCAACGTCCAACTCTTCAATGTCGTCTTTGACTCGCTGCAGTACACGCGCTGGCTTCTTACATTCTTTTTACATTAAACTTGGTCGCTAAATGGTTAATTCTCGCCCCGTCAGCTTGTTGAGTGGTTAATGATAATTAATAATTGCTGGGTTAATTAATAGTTTTTTTGCAATTTTCGAGCTGTATGCAAATCGGAGATTAACTACCGTCGTGTGTAGGCAGGTACGTGTGGGCTTTTTTTATTATCGTGAAATGCGCGAAAACGGGAGTTTCGCTCAATCCGATCGTGTCCGACTTGTTACAGGGTATTCTGCTTGTCTACGACATCACAAACAAGTGGTCATTTGATGGGATAGACAGATGGATCAAGGAGATTGAGGAGGTATGTTAAACAAAGCCACAACGTGGAGTGTGCAAAACAAATTTGTCAACGAGTTAAATCAGTCCTCGTAGATAATGATTATATTGGATCTATGGTACTATAAATAAATTCATTCGTTAATGTTATTATTATTATTAATATAGTTATTATTATTATATCAGTTGTGTTTGCATGTGTTACTTATAGTCAGACTTGCTCATGCTGGGGATGTAAATACATTTAACCAATGCTCATCTAGAGTTACTTCTAAGCCTGTTAGGAGTTATGACTGGTTGTTCCACCTGTCAAAAATGTGTTAGCTAGCATGCTACACAGTTGAAACCATATATAATGGTCACTGAAGAGAAACAGTCGAACCCATATAATTATAATGGTGACAGGTCAGTGAAGAGAAATGCCAAATGCGTCTTTTATAGACAGTTGTCCATTCTATAGAGACGGTTTCCGCGTGTAACTGTTGTCACTCCTGGGAATCGCTAAAGGTGTCTTTAATAGACAGGTGTCCATTCTCTGTCAGGTGTCCACTAACACGGGTCTGACTGTATCATGTATGTCTACTTGCTTAATAAATTTTACAGTGGTAACATCCCGGTTGGCCTACTCCAGTCCCATTTCGTCTACTCCTATTTCGTCTACTCTCGGAATATGTATACGTTTCTGTGATTGGGAAATTAGGGCTGGATTTGTTTTGGAAGGCAACCTCGAGTAACCTCGGTAAATTTCCTAATACTGCAGTGTTAGCGTTCGGTAATGACCCCCACCCCAGGGATTTAATTTATTTTTCGGGGGCTACTTTTCAAGCTCGCGTGCATGAATTTTGAACTCTAAAATTTGGTTTGCATTAAACTATGCAAATTTACGGGGGCTCTTTTGGGCATTTCCGGGGCTCTTTTTGGCATTTCGGGGGCTAAATCGACTCGAGCCCTCATGTATTTTTTTTACTGCTCCACCCCCACCCACCTTCAGTCGCGGTGTAGCTCATGCCGAAACGTTATAGCATCGCCGGCGTTCTATTAATTAGAGGTTTAATTATTTATCATCAACTGATGACAACGGCACTATTCCCCTGCGTGGACGTTGCCGCAAGCGTGTGGGTACGCGCGGGAGATTCATCAGCAGTGCGTGTAAAGACATGCCTCGATAGTCGTGATATTTTACTCGCAAGTGGATGCGCGCTTACACGGCAGCAAAAGCTGGACGTACAGCAGTTTCATGATGTTTATTTTTTATTTATTGTATCGCGTCGGTATCCTATGGATTTTCTCACGTTTCGACGGGCTGCGGCACATGCGGCGGGAGCGGCGAAGATTTATTAGAGTTGTAAAGTCTCATCAACGCGTCGATGACCGCAATACGCCACTCACGTCGTATCGTATTGGCATCGTAACGTATTAGTATCAGTGCAGTATCGTACACATTTTCGCATGCGTCGTCGCAAGCTTGTGTTGCAGCTTTATTGGAAGTGTAAAGACTTCGTGATATATATATTGCTCACATCGGCATCGTATCCTATCGGCATCGTAACGTATTAGTATCAGTGTAGTATCGTACACATTTTCGCACATTTTGTCGCAAGCTTGTGTTGCAGCTTTATTGGAAGTGTAAAGACTTCGTGATATATATATTGCTCACATCAGCATCGTATCGTATTGTGTATTAGCATCGTATCAGTATCGTATCGGCATCGTATAGTATCGGTATCATATAGTATCAGCACCGTACTGCATCGGCACCGTACCGTTTGCAGCAGAAGCCGGGCGTTCTGAAGATCCTCGTTGGCAGTCACTAATACTCTGTCGTATCATGTCGTATTAGTATCGTACCGTATCGGCACCATCGCTGACTCCTCTCCTCGCACGTTCGCGGCACGTGCGGGGCGTTCCGAAGATCCTATAGTATCATATCAGCACCATATAGTATTGGCATCGTTTTGTATCGTATTGGCACCGGGTATCAGAATCGTTATCATATCGTATCATGTTAGCATAATACCTGCATCATGTCAGTATCACATGCGTTCTCCTGCTCGCGCGTTTGCAGCACGCGCCGGGCGTTCCGAAGATCCTCGTCGGCAGTCAATAGTACTCTGTTGTATCACGTCGTATCGTATCGGCACCGTACTGTATGAGCATCATATCGTATCGGCACCGTACTGTATCGGCACCGTACCGTTCACAGCACGCGCCGGGCGTTCCCAAGATCCTCGTCGGCAACCGCCTGCACCTCGCCTACAAGCGGCAGATCTCGGAGGACGAGGCCGAGGCGTACGCGCTCAAGCACAGCATGGCCTTCTTCGAGGTCAGCTCCCTGTGCGACTTCAACATCGTAGAGTCCCTGACGGAGCTGTCGCGCCTCGTGCTCAAACGCAATGGCATGGACCGTCTGTGGCGGCACCACAAAGGTATATGTGGGTGTAGGGGCAGGTAGGCATGTGGGTCGCAGACAGATACGCAGGCAGATAAGCACGATGAAGACAATTGAAAATATTCGTCCTTATTGTAATCAATGATGGCTAAAAAAATGTGCTATTAGTGTGTTAGTTGCACCTGAATGAAAATTGTGACTGCGGTCCGCGAATGTCTTTTGTTCTGACTAACACTTCTGTGCGCGTGCGTCTGATGCGTTCGTAAACCAATTAAGGTCGTTAGCATCGCTGTCACGTAGTTTCTGATTGCCGTCACTAGTTACCCACTGATTACAGTGAATCGCACGTGAATTCCATGCATCTCCATGTCACTGTCTCGCATCGGAGTGTAAATTCTATCGATTGCTGTCAAAATGATTATTCTCTTAATTAAAATATCTCTATTTCGGTAATGCGGGAGGGATGGATGGGTGGGGGGGGGAGGGGGGTCTACTCGAATCTCCCCTAGTTGTTACGTTATCGCAGTGATAAAAGTCGCAGAGTTTCGAGTTTTTAGTCGGAAGGTTTATTTCGATCGTTGCGAGGTGAAATGGCGAGAAACTGAGAAAGTTGCGCGAAGATTTTTGCGATCACTCCTAGGTGAATTAGGAAAGGGTGTTGTTAGTTAATTTGCCAATTTATTTTGCACGTTACGGACCGAGGGCTAATCACAAAAGTGCAATTATATTTATACCTAAATGCTATTTCAGGGGTAGAAATTAACTTTTGAACACGGGAATCCAACGGACCCTCAAAAACAGGGAGTTTGCAGCAAAATGAGGGAGTCCACAGTCTGAGGTTTAAAATTAAATATATTAACAATAATCCCATGTGCTTATTTTTAAGATTCATGCAGCTGCACATCTGTCAAATTTTCTTTGGGTATTAGCTGAATAAATATGGTAATTCTGCAAAGCCGTGCTCTGGAACAAACTAGTTGGTATGGCAGAATTTTCAGGGAGTCACAAGGACTTCTGCATATGTCAAATCAGGGAGTCCGACAGTAAATCAGGGAGTATTTGACTCCGGACTACCGTTAATTTTGCACCCTGCTATTTAACCGAACGATGTTCATTTTAGGACAAATGTATCCCTATTATAACTGAAACTATATGTCGTTTATAATATATTGCAACCCTTCTGCTCTTAAATTAATAAATAAGAAACACCCTCGGTCTGTAGCCTGCAGCCGAAACGTTGCTTTGCGCAACTTTTCAGTGGGTGTGCTGCCAGTGGTGCCACCGTCTTTGTAAGCAACGGTATAGCCGTCAGTTTTAAAACATTAAAAAAAAATTCTAATAAATATTGAACCATAAAACTTTTTATGAAGCGTAATTTTAACCTATCTTAGCTGAAAATATCTGAAGAACCTAGAGAAATGTATCCCTTTAACATCATTTCGACACTCGTGCGTACACCTTGTGTCATGTGAATGCTAACTCGTGGTTGTGTTTGTGTGTGTTGCGCAGTGCTGTCGCTACAGGAGCTATGCTGCCGTGTGATCGTCAACAGGACAACCATGTACAGTATCGAGCATCTGCCGCTGCCCACGTCGCTCAAGTCCTATCTAAAGTCCTACTCCATGACCAACCAGACACGTCTCCGCATGCAGAGGTATGTTCGCGTGTGCGTGCGTGCGTGCGTGCGTGTGTGTGTGTGCGTGTGTGTGTTTATGTGTGTGTCAGACCTGCGCGCGCAACCGCGCATGCTCAATATCTGCTGAAATGAGCGATATGTTGATGTCATTCGTTTTGCGTAGACAGAGAACAGCCGCGAGTACGTTGATACGTTTCCGGTTCCTTTTCGTTTATAGTTGGCGCGGACATAGGAAGCATAGGGAAAATAGGAAAATTTCCCTGTGTGCGTGCGTGCGTGCGTGCGTGCATGTGTGTGCGTGCGTGCGTGTGTGCGTGCGTGTGTGTGCGTGCGTGCGCGTGCGTGCGTGCGTGCATGTGTACCCCCGGCATGGTTTAGCAGCATTGTCACACAGCTGCGCACGTGCGCGTGTGCGTATATATATATATATATATAGAGAGAGAAAAAATATTAAAATAAATAAAAGCACGCAGACACTAATGAATACATAGATCAAGTAAAATTTAAAAAATATAGCAATGAAGTTTTGTGAGAACAGAGTATGAGAATATGCGATACTCGTACGTCGTGCGACTTCATAGTAAACTGCGCTGACAAAATCGAAAACTCTCCGCTCTTTTGGAAGCCATCTTGTGAATATTTTTTTTATCGTTCATCTGCATCCACAGGTACATGACAAAGAACTTTGACAAGCACAAGAGAAAGATCCTAAATCCCAGTGAATCACCGTCAAGTTGCAGGAAAAGCTGCATCATCTGTTAGCACCGGGAACAGGGTTTGCACGGGGGGGGGAGGTGGGAGAGGAAAAGAGGCTGTATATTACTATCAGATATATAATTAATGAAGTCATGGCACTTGCGCTTCACTGTGAACGAGGATTAAGCTGGATTTACACTGCCGACTTTATGTTGGCGAATTGGCGAGTTGGACCAATTTTGCAATTTGGCAATTCCAAGTTGGCAAAAATAGAACATCAGTTACATGTTCTAATCTCCCAACTAGTTGCGATCGATCAGTTGGTCGTGCAACTTTTGCGTTTACACTGCCGATTGTCGGTTGGGAAATTGGTCCAATTTGCCAATTCGCCAACACAAATTACTAGTGTAAACCCAGCTTTAGCTGATGTGGAGTGACGTTACCCAAGGTAACTGGTTGTCCTGACAGGGACAGTGAGCTTCGCAGAAATTTTCTTCGGAGCGTGTACGAAAACAAGGTTGTTTAAAAGACGATATTGCCTGTTGATTTGTAAATAATGTTTTTAAATAATTGTATATTTATCCCTTAGTTCTATATCGTGAGATTCTATGTAAAGATGGTGATACTATTCGACTGACGTTTGACGTTGTTGTTGATCAGACATGAATGCTCTTGTGTTGTAACGATGCGCACGGCTACCGCTAGCGATCATCGTGTCCACGCGCTGAGTCTGCCCAGCACACACTACTGTTGCCATGAATTCCTGCCACGTGTGCACGTTTCTGTGAGGTCCAATATACATATCAGCCTACACAACCAAATTAATGCCCGCTAAATGCCTGCATGTGGATTGTGTAAGATGTTGCATACTGTCGTTGGTGTTTGTCGACTCCTGTTTATGCACGCATTTCACATTAGTGTTTCGGAGAAACTATAGACTGACGAAATTTGGTCGTCGCCCCTTACTTTTACAGAATTTTGTGTGCATATATTGTGATATATCTCCCTCTAGAATTCATACATGAAGTCTTATAACCTGCTGTATAAGACAATCTCTACGCAGGTACTGCGACGCAAGTCTTCGTTTCAAATATTAAGGATAGATACTGTTAGGATTGGGAAGTGATTTTCGGTCGAAATTTCAATACCCACTATATTTGATATATTGCACCCATGGGTAGCTATGTATACGTAGAAATTGTGTCTGTACCCTCCCAAACATTTCCAAATCTCCGCATTAGTCAATTCTTAAAACAGGCGTTCAATCATGGGAAATGTAGAAAAGTGCTAATAACTCCATTGTTAGAAATGCTGAAGTTGCTGATTTTTCAAACGCTATTTCTCGAAACTCACAACTCCGATTCCAAAATTTTTTGTTACATTTCAATGCTAACATACCAAAGGAAAAAAGTGTCTCTGGAATTTAAAAAATATGTTTTATAAGTTATGGCTCTTTGTTTACGAAATTGTTGCGTTTTGGAAATCACGACAAAGTTTTGTACATCTTTTCAACTTATTTGCTAAATTAAAGCATTTTAAAAAAATTTCAGGGACCATTTTTTAGTTCAGATTATGAACAACTTATGGTTAAAAGTTTAAGTCCCAACTTTGCTGTTTCTGAGAAATAACAAAAAAAGCTTTTCTATAAATTCACAAAAACAATACGAGAGCATAGAGAGACATCTCTCTTATGTAACGGATATGAGTTTGATTGAATATGGTGAGCAGTTATGTTGCAATGCCCTTTACAGTGTTCCCCATCCGTAACCCTAACAGTATCCTTAAGAAAACACGATTGTGTTTGTCGTCGCGCAGTAGTCTGGTGTAGAACATCATTTAGTGGATTGCAGGAGCGCCTCATCCTGCGCCAGTATAAGAGAGCAAGGAGTGGATAATGTTCGCTAAAGGTTGTGTTGGTGGAGTTACGAAGATGTGACGACGTCATAGGGGTGGTCACGTGCATTAGCTGTCTGTCTTCACTTTCAATCAATTAACTTGCTTCCAGTCACTCGATGTAAATTCAGATGCATTCTGTGAGAGCTATTTGTCAATGGATTGGTGTGTCGAGAGAGCGAGGGCAAAAAGGAATTGCGAGTGTGTACAGGAGAGTAAGAGAAGAGAATGTATAGGAATAGCTGGTTGAACCGGAATGTATATAGGAATAATGAGAAAGTTCGTGCAGATACTAGATAATTTACGTGGTACCTTCTGTTTGGTTTCTCGTGTATGTTGTAGAACGTAACGAAAAACGGTTGAACCTTTAAGTTCAAAGTAGTTGTTGTGTAGTTGTCAGAAAATGAACTGCTTTTGTTTCCAAAACAGGACCGTGAAAAACCCCCCCAAAGGCATTCTGTAGAAAAGGGATAGTGAATAGGTTTAGGCAGGGTACCTCTGTTATTGATGGTTTGAAAGTATGACACGTGTACAAAAAACAATTATAAAATTATACAAAAAATTAATAAAGCTATGTAAATGTGTTGTATTCCCAGTGTATATTGTTTTTATACAAATGCTATACTGTTTTAATCGAGCATAACCTAATATTTAGCAAAGTTTCACATGTCATAGTGTAACGAGTGGAGCTGTAATGTAATCTGCTAATGTAATCTGTGATTAATACGAAATTCATTTAATATCAGCATTTAGATGCAGAGGAACAATGAGAACGTGAAATGAGATGGAAAGGGTAATGATATTTGTCCGGTAAGTTGGTGAAACCATAGAGATGGTGAAACAGTAGGGAAGAAGTAATCTTTATATGGTTAGCGTGCGGAAGTCAGCTATCCATGTGTTCAAGAGTAGATAATAAACATGTTTGTTATCTACTCTTGATGTGTTGTATATCTATGCACAGGGTGACCAAAACTACTTCCGGTTTATAAAATGTTATATAAATCCATGATAAATCCTACAAATGTCACGAAAATACAAAAGAAAACTGTCAGGATTATTAACAATAAAATCCAAAATTCTTAATTATTGTTTTTATTGGGATATTAAGTCATTTTCGTGTATCATTTAAAGTATAATGATATTTTTCCTATAATTTTACGTATTTTTGAGAAATAATATTATTGTCACGTGACTTCAACATCCCACAATCAAAAACCTTTGTTGCAAAGATGAACCTCACCATAAACCTAACTAATAGTTGAAGAGATGACAGAATTACCTTGCAATCAGAACGAGATATGATTTTTTAAAGATTTAGTATAAATCAGCCAAGTTTGCATAAATTACTGACTTTAAAGCAAAGATCCTATAGTGCCGTAGGATAGATCCTATAAGCAAAGATCCCATATATTGCGGAGTGGCTGACTCGAAGACTGTATAGTCAATTCGCCCTCCCTCGCTGTACTTATTTAAAAAACTTGTTGTGATATATGTAAAAATGTAATATACTTGAAAGCGTAAATAAATTCTAAAATCTAAAAAAATCTAAAATCTATAGTGCCGTTCACTCTACGATCTTTGCTTTAAAGTCACGTGACCCCGACCTACCCGGCTACCGATCTGACAAGGCTATCACATTATTTTCTTGATCTACACCACTGATCTCTATAATATATTATATTATAGAGATCAGTGATCTACACACCAAGGGCTTTTAGAAAATGCATGGTAGCATTTGCCCCCAACTTGGTAATGAAATGCTGATTGGCTCATGGACTAGAAGGTAGTGACGAATGAAATGAAATCGTTATTATAAGAAAATGAAACATTCAACGACAGATGTCGCCACTTGGGGCTATGTCTGAATTGGAGATTTGCAGTTTTGCGTACAAGGGGGAGTTAAATCAATTTAAAAACAAAATAATACAAAACAATGAACTGTTAGAGAAAGCCGACCAGGTAAGCAAGTCATTATTCAATGTTACAAACATTGGTGTATACTTCTTTATTGGTTTATGCGGTTATAGCGGGTATTATATACACGCTCACTCGACAATATTTACAAAATTGATGCGTCACTGGCCGGCCTCAGCCGCCGTGTTCAAAAGTTTTGAAAGAGGTTCGTAGACTAGAATTTACAACTTACAAGATGCTAGCATTTATTGTGATTTTCTTTGTTCGCAGTCTGGACGTGTACCTCTTCACTGGGCAGCATGTGGCGGTCGCACTGCAATCGTGGAATTCCTGTTGAAACAAAACGTGAACATCGATCCCCGGGATGATGTAAGGAAATGCGAAGGCTCCCCAGGGGCGTGTACAGGGGGGGGGGGTCCAGGGGGTGCCTTTAAACCTTGTGTTCCCCGCTCGCACACGCTACCTATGCAGTCGAGTGTTGGGTTCACTGTAACCGTAGAATGAAGGTTTGGCCTTTAACCCTTGCATTCCCCGCTCCCACGCACTACTGTATACGTTGTATATTTTGCAGTGGTTTAATTTTCGCGAATTTCGCGAACGCGTCCCCGACCACGAAAATAACAACACGCGAATAATTCGTACCGAATAATACCGAATACTGGAATAATTCATAATTCACCGACCGCAAAATTCACCACTCGCGAAATTGTCCGTCCATTAAAATAGTCGAAAATATCTGTGTGCGAAAAATATGGCTTATACAGTATCCTACCCGCGACGCGCGCAGCCTGTTTGTGACTGCGTCTCTGCCCTTGTTGTTGCGCACAGAAGCGGGACGTACCGGACTACCTGTGTGGGAAGATCAGCTTCGAGCTGATGAGGAACCCTGTGATCACGCCCAGCGGCATCACGTACGACCGGAAAGACATAGAGGAGCATCTACAGGTATATACGCACGTCGCAGGTCGAAGATTTACGACGGGGACATTGTGGAATGTGTGTGTGCGTGCGTGGGTGATCAAAGATGATGATCAAACTGAAATAATGATTTTAACATTAAGTTAAGAGTCGATCATTATCTTCCAGTGATTCTTAAACCTCTTTAATAGTTTGATTATTAAGTTCATGATCATTCGGAGATGAATTTAATGATCAATGGCCAAGTTGATAGTAAAATTATTAAGTTAATACTCGAACTCTTAACTTTAATGATCTGATTATTAAGTTAATAATCTACTATTAAAGTTAATGATACATTTTTTCCTCCGTGGCCT